GGTTGGTGTTACCAACCGGGACTAAAAGTTGGAGGACTTGTAGTCTCGGTTTGTGGCTCCAACCGGGAGTAAAGGTCCACCTTTAGTCCCGTTTGGTGTCTCCAACCGGGACTAAAGGTCCCCTGCCACTGTGCCGAGCGCAGTAGCCGTTGGGCAGGGACCTTTAGTCCCGGTTGGAGACACCAACCGGGACTAAAGTCTCTCTAGTCCCGGGCGCAAAAAATGCCGGGGCTAGAGTCCATTTTGGCCTCGGATGAAAGGTCTGTTCTCTACTAGTGGTAGTTTGCTTCTGCTAGATCGTTGAGCTCGCAAAGTCTACCATTGTCCTCCTCATCTTCCCCACCCTCATCGGCCTCCACAATCTGAGATAACACGGGGCGAGCAGCTTTCTTTTTCTGCTCCTCTGCCTTCCTTTTTTTCAAACCTGGCCTATGCTAGCTTAGCAGCATACTCATCGCTGAGTTGTTTTCTTGCATGGACACATACAATAAGTTAGCCACGGAGATTAAAATAAAAACAGGTTAACGAAACAAAGAGAGAGTCCAAGCACTCACTAGTACATCTAGGCAACCCAGAAACAAGGTCCTTCATGAGGTGCATTTGAACTTTTTTCGCCTCCCTCTCCCTATCCTTCTCTTCCTTTCTCTCGACAGCCAACCTCCTCTAGTACTCCCGATGGTACCATTCTGTGGTACCTGGATGTATCAGGACACGTACACCCATTTGCAACGCCATCTGACGTCGTTTTTGCTTGCGGTGTTTAATGTAGTTATCGAGGATTTGAGATCCACATCCCATCTTCTGTCCCATTAGAACCTTCTGCCTCATTGTATCCTTAACTTCAGCTCTGTCCAAGTAGAACTCCCATTGACATTCTCTAGTGCTCTGTTCAAAGAAATTAGTCACTATATGGAACAAATTTAATTTAAAGTTTAAAAGTCTTAACCAACCTCATCATAATCAACCATGTGGCTGCACTAGTGACCTATTCCAAGCTCAGATGCTCCTTCTCTTTCTCCTTCGGCTTTGGCTCAGGCCAATGAGACTTAGGTCCATAGAGCCACTCACTGAACCGACACTTCCGGTATCCGTGCCGCAAAAGAGGATAGATTAGTAATTCCGGACATGCAAAAACAAGGATCAAGATAGAAAAGATGCACTTACTTCGTTCTTGTTACCACACTCAAACTCAAGCAAAACCCTAGGTGTAAGTACAGCTGGATCTCCGCAATCACACAGAGGAGGGTTGTCAAGTCATTTTGAGGCGGCTTTGTTCTTCTCCTCGTCCGTCATTGGTGGAGGGTTGGGGGGAGGTGGAACCCACCGCTTGAAGTGCGCGTGTGGCCAACGCCGCCACCAGCCTTTGAAAAAGAGGTACCTTAGGTCAAACTTGTCAGGCCCCTGCCGCGCCAGGCTTGTTGGCGCGACAGGGGCCGCGTCGGAGTCTGTGGTGTGGCAGGGGGGCCACGTCACCCGCTCAGCGCTTCGCTCACCTGCCACGGTGGCGCCCTTGCTGCGCCAGGCGGGGTAGCGCGGCATAGCAATGTGGCCGTGCCAGGGAGTTTGGCGCGGCTATACGGGTTAGTTTTGGAAATAGTTTTGCAATAGTGTTATTTTTAGAAATAGTTTTTAAAATGGGTTAAAAATAAAAAAAATCCTTCTTCTTCCTTTTCCGACCGCATCTGGTCTATACCTCCCCTCTACCGCTGCTTGTGGTTGCTTGATGGACATGGCTAGGGTTTGCACAGCACTTGGGCTTCATTAGCTTGTGGATTTCGTCTCCCCTTCATGCTGTCCCCATGGATTTGGCATTCGTAGACATGCATGGATCCAGCTGTTTTGCGTGGGGATTTATTCATTTCGGATTTGCTTCTGCATACTGCTAGCACTTTTCATGGGTCTTAATTATTTCTTGGATTTACCCTTCATGTTTTATCTTGGGTGAAATATAATAATCTTGCTTGCAGTTTCTCATATTTTTGGTCTTTGATCTGTTCTGATTTGTAGTTCCCCATGTTTTCTGTCTTCATTCTTTTTCCCTTCCTCCTGTTCATTGGTTGTTTTGCTGTGGTCCTCTCCACTTTCAGTTCATTTTATTTTTAGTTTTGATTTCGGTCAGATCTGTGGTTTTCCCATATTTTTCCTCCTAAATCTTTTCCTCTTTTTCATGTTAACTCATTCTTTTCCTGCATCTTCTTCACTTTTTTCCCAGTTTCTCTTGGGTGAAATGTAGTGGTCGCACTTGCAGTTCTTCATTTTTTATTCTTCCTCACGCAATATCCACGGTACCCTGTTCTCTTTAAAAAAATTTTGCTTCTCACTAATCACGTGTTCTTCGTTCATGGTTCTTTTACTTTAGTTTAAATGCGACTAGCAAGATTGAAATTTGCTGTTCTAAATGTCATTTTCAGCCTTTCGTTGTTTGTTTCCCACTCTGTTCTCATAATATTTGTCCCTTTTCGGTTCACACTGTTTATTTTGCAAGGTGTGCACTTGGGAAGAAAGAGTTCCATTCCCTTTTCCAATAGAGGGAGCCATTTTGGCAATACCGATGACAACCACACATGATGAAATACGCACACGCACACAACATATATATATATATATTGAATTGGCAAGAGTATAGATAATAACCAAATCAACATTTCTTTTGCGACACAAAGGGAAGTTAAAAGTCTAAAATGATACTAAAAATTATAGAGAAAGAGAACAAATTAATTATCCCTAAGTCTCTAATCTCCATCTGACTAATCTAATTCATAGGCAAAAAATCACTGTAATAACATGAATAAAATAGAGGGAGAAGAAAAAAGATAGATAATCTTAAAGCATATAGATGCCATTAGAGATTAATATGGAGGGAGAAATAAGAAGACAAGCACTAGTTAACATCATTACTAGCTAATTGGGCGTGTATAGTGCAGACCAACTAGGATGTTGTGTAGGAAAGAAAAACCACAATAATAATTACAAGAACAATGTAGAGGGAGAAGATAGCATGAGTATTAGTCATAAATCATATAGATATCATTAAGGATTAACACAAAGAAGTGAGGGCAGACAAATAAAGCACTAATTAGTAATTATTATCAGTTATTAGCTAATTAAGGGGTTATATATAGTGGAGCATTCAGGAGGTTGGGGGATGCTTGGCCCCCTTAGTCCCCCCTCCCTCCGCCATTGGGTCTGTTCGTATGTCGTTTGTTCCATATGGGTGGTTATTGTCTGTTCGAGGTATTTTGGCTAGATCGACTTTTTACATGTTTGTGATTGGGTATGGTCTGTCCGCCTTGCTCTCCTGGTTTGGCAGTGCTATGCTTAGCCAAAACATATGTTGGAGTTGTATTAGCATTTGGAGTTCCATTAGCATTTGCCTGGCTAATAGATTAGGAAGCAGCAAAGTACAACGCTCCCTAATTTATATGAATTTATTCATGCTATGATGCATAATGTTTCTTTAATTTAATGTCCTTTGGTCAACTATTATCCTTGGCAGGTTCACACGACAATGATGTGATGTCCAACCTGATCCACGTAAGCTATCAAGAGAACATGTCGTCTCCTATCAGATTGGTAAGCTCTTACCTCTGTACCTATTTTTAACTAAGTTTGTCATTAAATACTGGTAAGTCTTTGTGAATTAGAACAAGATAGCTGGTTGCTAAACCCTTGTTGATTGATAAATCTTAAGGTTAAATAATCATATATGGTTATATGTTTGCCGTAATGTGCTTCTATGCCTTATATTATACTGAAAGATTAGATCAAATGAATGGTTCTGGTTACTATGGTTGCTCCTAGGTATATGATATCAGTGTGTGATACATATCTATTTATTACAGTGATGCGCTTGCAAAAAAAAGTGGCTGACATGATAATCTTGTGTTGTCCTATGCCTTTTCTTTTCTAAATACTCCCTATAGCCTCTTCGGTTTTTTTGTCCTACCCTTTTCTAAATATTACAACTAAAATAAAATCCTATGCTTTATTAATTTTTTATCCCTAAATACAACCAGAACTTGAAGGGACTCAAACAGCAAATGATGACTCAGGAACATTGCTTAAACTCCTGTCACTACGTGAAAAACAGTTTGTAGCAACAGAGCTTTTTTTTTTTGAGACGGCTGATATTGGAACAGTCCTTACAGTGGTATGCTCGAGTTTCAACACAGCAGTCGCCCTACAAGACATAGGGGCGCCTGATAATACGAGTCGTCCATACAAATACGTCAACGCAGAGGCGGCCGGTACACCGAGGCTCTTTTGTCGTATCGCATCGTATGGTTTGCTTTTCCTTTCTTCCTCCCGACACCCGAACGCAACGCAGCAGCAGAGCAGAGAGCAACACCACCATTTCCCTTTATCAACCCACCACCGCAGCGCAGCAACCCAGCAGGCAGGGCAGCGAACAGCAGCTCCACCGATCCATCCACCCATCCACTCGTCACTCCTCCCCGCCGCTCGCCTCCTCCACCCTTCTCCCGTCCCCGCCCCGCCACCAAACCCTAGCCTACCTGCCCTGTCCACCCCGTGTGCTCCGCTCCGCTCCCCCGCGGTCGGCCTCGCGCGCCATTTTCTCCGCCTGATTTTCGCACAAGGTGAGACTCCTCTCCCCCTAAAACCCTACTCTCGCGGATTCGGGATCCGGCCGCGCGCGGATCTCCTCTCACCTCTCCGCTTCCTCCCTCCTCCAATCGACTCCCCTGATCCGCGCCTAGGGTTTCGCCGCCCCGCGATCTGCAGCTCCTTAGCCGCTCTACAATTTTTTTATTCCAAAAAATAAAACTTTACTGTTCCCCGCTGACCTGACTCCTCAACCCTGCTGCCCTGCAGTGATCGACCTCGCCTCCGACTTCTTCCCGCCCGGCCGGCGGGCGGAGCACCGCGCCACTGCCCGACCTCCTCTTGCTTTCGCTTTTCTGGCCCGCGGCTGACGACAAATAAAACGAGGCTTTCCCCACCCCGTGCCGCATGCTCAGGTGACTTGCTTGGGGGGGGGGATGGGGCATGCAGAGGTACGCCGGCAACAGCGCTGGGTTCAGCGGCGGCAGGGACACGGCGCGAGGTCGGAAGCCTCGCCGTTTTCGTCCTCCTCCTCTGGTTACCCCGTCAGCTCCAGGTGACATTCTACCCCTGTTTCCCTGTCCAGGGTGTTGGCCGCATGGTTAGGCGTTTGTTTACAACAACAGCCACCTGTTATTTGATTGGTGTAGTTGCTGAGTAGGCACTGTGGCACGATGCGGTGTCACCGCTTCGGATTTGGCAGTAATAAAGGCACCTCACTGTAATGCCAGATGTTCTTGTTCGTGCGCTCCAACCCCCACGAACAAACTGCATGCATGCTGTACTTACACTTTTTCAAGGCTATATTGTTAGCAGGATTTGTGTTTAATCCTCATACAAACTGCTATCCATCACGTACCGCCCTCGATAAAGTAGCTTGTCACAGACTGTTGTATTTTAACAAAGTGGAAAATCCATTGTATGAGTGAACATATATAGCTTGTAATCGCATTATTCTCTACTTGCTTCGTCCTTTGAATAACTTTCGTGTTGAACCTTTCCACTTATTTCTTCTCATCATCAAATGATTCAACCACCTACACGAATGCATTGCCTAGAGATTCATGCTTTCAAAAGTTTGAATAGCATGTTGCAGTCTACCAAATAACCAAGTGCTCATCGTTGTTATTTCTATTGAACTATGTTATGCTTCAATTTTTTGGTCTAAGAATGGAGCAACCCTTCCATGTCTGTTGTACAGTCAAAAGAAATTGACTGCAGCGAGCTTGACTGGAAGTCTGCCATCGCAACACACATGCAGATGCAGAGATTTGAAGTAACATGTTCTCATTGGTGCGGATGAACTGTCGCCAGTAGTTGGGCTTTAATATACAAGTTTTGTAAACTTCCCATGTCTATTGTATAATAATAACTAGAACATATGTATCACTTGAAGTGTAGATATAATTTTGCCACATTCACTTGCTTGTTTGGAATGAAGGTGCTGTGGTGCAGTAGGAAGTAGTAGCGACCTCACTTCCAGTACTCTATTTCTTGTTTACATTTTGCTTGTGCATTTTTTCCCACTTCTGATTTCTTTTTCTCCCTAACTCCCCTATCTTTCAGGCGGCAGCAACAGCTAGCTCCATACAAGCTAAAGTGTGACAAAGAGCCACTTAATAACAAGTATGTCTAACTTATGGACCAAAGCCACTTCACTTACGACTGTTCTTTTGTTTACATGCTTATTATCTCAGACTGGTTATGATTCCCTTCCTTATTTTTGGCCCTCCCTTTCAGCTTTGACATGATTTCTGCTTATAAAACAACAATTTCATATGTTGTTCTTTTATTTACAACTTAGAACTATTGATTGTCCTATGACATGGTTTCATTTGATCCTATGGCATACCTTTTACATTATGTCTCTTCTGTAGGCTTGGGCCACCTGACTTCTATCCACAAACACCAAACTGTCCTGAAGAGACATTAACCAAAGAGTATGCACAAGCTGGGTATAAGGAGACTGTTGAAGGAATTGAGGTGTGTATGGGAACAGAAGTTGTACACAACACATTATGGACATCATGCTATTCTTTTTTCCACAGCAGCCATACTTTTAGGTAGAAATCCTCGTAACCAACACCTTCGTGAGACTAAAAGGCTACTTGTCGGATGGTTTGGACTTGTGGAATGAATTAGACTTGTGAATTATGTCTATTTAATGATGGATTGTATATGCTGACATGTACACGCGCAGGCGATGGAGAAGGCCATGAGCTTGTGCTAGAACTAGGACTACGGACAGCCAAAGGAGACGAACTAAACAATCTGCTGAAGACATCCATGCAACCAGAAGACATGCAGGAAGAAGATCTTTACAAAGGCTGCCCTCTACCAACTGCCTCTGCAGAAACAGGTACGAAAGAATTTTACATGTCTGAATCGGCGAGGTTAGCTAGGTACCTCTATGATAGATTGTGGCTTAAGCACATACGAGCACCCGCGGTGGTGGGTTGACCAACACAGGAGAGAGAGCGCCATGTGAGCAGCAAAGAGGAATCGGTTCCTTGAAAAAAAGCATCATGGGTCCCATATAATATAATAGAAAATTGCACATAGATTCTTTATGTAATCTTCTCTGCTTTCTTCCGGCGCACATAGGAGTCGGTCAGATAGGTGAGAGAAATTTGTTTTTTTTATTCACCACGAGTTGACTCCCAACCTTGCATCGGTTCTTCTCTCTCCTCCATGAGTCGTTCTCTCCCGTGCTTGAGTCGGTTCATCTGCATGCCACGTCGGACGATGAGTCACTTTTACTTTCCCACTGGCGAAGCCCTAAGAGCCCAAGTTCTTGTTTTTCTTGGACGTACGGTGATCAGTCCTTGTCTGTACAGGGAGTGTGAACTCATACTTGCTGGTGGAAGTTCCTGTGCGCCAGGCAGCTAAAGACAACGGTGGGTTTGGTGGTAGAACCAAGAAAAAGCTGAGGCTGAGCAAGGAGCAGTATGGGTTCCTGGAGGACAGCTTCAAGGAGCACAGCACCCTGACGCCCGTAGGTGTTCTGATTACTATATGGCCCCCATACATGTCTGTCAAAAAAGAAATTACATGTCGTGTCGTATTTTTGGAAAAGAGTCCTGATGTGTTAAGACTTAAGTGGAAAACAACTCAACTACCAAAAGAAATTCTGAGTATATACAGCTTTATATCAGAAAGTCATTGTAGAATGTAAGCCCGCCTATCGTTGACAAGGATTTTATTAATTTTTCTTCTTATTTGCAGACAAAATAAGTAAGAAGTTAGAATATGCATGTCTCATTGAATTAAATTAATTTTGTTTTGTTTTGGAATACTACAGAGACAGAATAGTGATTTAGCGAGCCGGCTCAACCTTGGACCACGGCAAGTGAAGATCTGGTTTCAAAACAGAAGAGCTCGGTAGTGCATGTCACAGACCCTTTTTCTCATTGATGTGTGTCTGTGTGTGTATATATATATATATATATATATATAGTGTCAATGTCGTCGACTTGTTTTATATATTATAGCGTGAAATCAATAATATCTCAGGACAAAGCAGCAGCAAACCAAGGAGGACTGCGAGAACCTGAAACGTGGCTGCGCGGCGCTTACACGGGAGAACCGAAGGCTCCAAGGAGAGGTCGTGGAACTGTGTGCCTTGCTTACCAACCCTGCAAAGTTTTACAGCCACCAACCAGCTGCTCCGTTCCGTTCGGCACTGCCCTATCAGCTGAGCAGAGGGGCCCGCCAGGACCGATTTCTTTTGTACTCCTCGTAAGTGCTAGGGCAGCTCGATCTGCCGCTGCCCGATCGACGACGCTGCAGCAGCCGTGCCATGGCTGCCGGCCTGCTGGCGTCCCAAGGTGCGTGTGTGTATAACGTACGGTTAGGAAGATGCATGAGTCCACGCGCAACCCCCGGCCCCTTCGTCTTGTACCGGCAAGATGGATGTACAGGCCCGGTACGTAGGCAAGACGTATGCGCAGCGTGGAAAGGCCCAGCCGGTGCACCGGCACATGTATTAAGAGCTCCTTGTTACCGTGTACTCTATGCGTGTTTATGCAATATACACTTTGTATTGTATGTTAAATATGTAGATATCGAGCGCTTTATTGTTTCGTGAGTTAAAGGCTTGCTCCGGTTTCCTTAGAATCCTGGCTGCCCCAACTGCGCCCGAATGTGACTTATAAGTCTGTTCGCTTGGGCTTGTTTGGCTTAAAAGCCGTACTTTTTTAGCCAACGAACAATATTTATCTCTCACATCAAATCAGTCAATAATACTTTCAGCCATGGCTTATCAGCCAAACAAACCCAAGCGAACAAGGCGAATATTTCTGTGGAGAATGGAGATCCGCTGCGAGATTTGAGTTTTGCATGTGCTTTCTCCTAAGACCTTTGTGTCCATTTGTAAGAATAATATCCATTTATTTAATAACATTGTATCTGTTATTCATTTGTGACGTCAATGTATGTGTGGAAATTGATCCATACAAACATATAATATACATCTGGTTCTGTGTTTTGAAGCCGAGTGTGGCAAGCAGCCGTTAGAAAGCAATCACTAGTGCAAATGTCTGTATTTCCAATGGCACTTACTAGTCTTAAGGGGCCCCAACGGAAATGCCCATTTTTACCTGTGGTTGCTTATGCTGATCGCTACTGGGAACAGGGGTGTTTCTAGTGACAGTAATGTTGTGTCGCCCACCTTTGAAAATCTGTTTTCGGTGCACTAGCGGCAGCAAATTCTGACCCCCAGTGCTATATATAGACCAGGTGCCCCACTAGAAATCGTTTTGTTACTATTTAGTGTTTTAAAAGTTCAGTTACGTGCATTTTAGAACTTCATCTGTTTTGAACCCATTTTTAGAACATCATCTATTTTGGACCCATGATATTATTACAAGTTGATTGTTCCAGTTTTCATGACGGGAAAAGCTTCTTTCCTTGTTATTTTTGCAAATATGTGGAAATTTCACGTTTCAACGCGTGGCATGTTGTTAATGATTCATTTTGTACATTCGAATCTAATGAGATCTGGCGACAAACTTGCACGCTAATTAATTAATTTATCCGACAACAAAAGTAACGAGCACACCTCCAGGATGGAGTGGATGACTCACGCACAACAAGAAGTACCAGTGCTTGACGTACACGTACAGCTAGCTAAGGGCTAGCCTAGCTAGGTAAATGATTTTTAAAGCCGGCCGGGTCAGTGTCACCGCTTAACGTTACTTAGGCTCCGTTTAGTTCCAAGCCAAAAATAAAAATTTTTCAAGATTTTTTGTCACATCAAATCTTGCGGCACATGCATGGAATATTAAATGTAGACGAAAAAATAAACTAATTACACAGTTAGTCGAGAAATCGTGAGACGAATCTTTTAAGCCTAAATAGTCCATAATTGGACAATTTTTGCCAAATAAAAACGAAAGTGCTACAGTAGCCAAAAGCCAAAAATTTTCGAAACTAAACGGGGCCTTATCTCAAGTCACTGTCCCGGATACGATGTTTCACCACAAAATTACTAAATATGCCGCTGGCCCACAAATCAAAAACAGGATACTTTACCATGCGGGGATGATACGATACCCTTCTATACAAAATTTAAAATGGCACGTCTGTTGAAGTGGTCACATTCGGGCGCAGTTGGGGCAGCCAGGATTCTAAGGAAACCGGAGCAAGCCTTTAGCTCACGAAACAATAAAGCGCTCGATATCTACATATTTAACATACAATACAAGCTAGTGTATATTGCATAAACACGCATACATGTGCCGGTGCATCCATTTTCCACGCTGCGCATACGTCTTGCTTACGTACCGGGCCTGTACATCCATTTTGCCGGTACCGCCCGCCGGCGCCACGCTGGAGCCGGAGGCTTCATTCTATTCACAAGACGAAGGGGCCGGGGGCTGCGCGTGGACTCATGCATCTTCCTAACCGTACGTTATACACACACGCACCTTGGGACGCCAGCAGGCCGGCAGCCATGGCACGGCTGCTGCAGCGTCGTCGTCGATCGGGCAGCGGCAGATCGAGCTGCCCTAGCACTTACGAGGAGTACAAAGAGAAATCGGTCCTGGCGGGCCCCTCTGCTCAGGTGGTGGTGCCTCCGCAGCTGATAGGGCAGTGCCGAACGGAACGGAGCAGCTGGTTGGTGGCTGTAAAACTTGCAGGCTTGGTAAGCAAGGCACGCAGTTCCGCGACCTCTCCTTGAAGCCTTCGGTTCTCCTGTGTTAGCTCCGCGCAGCCACGTTTCAGGTTGTCGCAGTCCTCCTTGGTTTGCTGCAGCTTTGTCCTGAGATATTATTGATTTCACGCTATAATATATAAAACAAGTCGATATATATATATATATATATATATATATATATATATATATATATATATATATATATATATATATATATATATATATATATATATATATATATATATATATATATATATATATATATATATATCATCAATGAGAAAAAGGGTCTATGACATGCACTACCGAGCTCTTCTGTTTTGAAACCAGATCGCCACTTGCCGTGGTCCAAGGTTGAGCCGGCTCGCTAAATCACTATTCTGTCTCTGTAGTATTCCAAAACAAAACAAAATTAATTTAATTCAATGAGACATGCATATTCTAACTTCTTACTTATTTTGTCTGCAAATAAGAAGAAAAATAAATAAAATCCTTGTCAATGATAGGCGGGCTTACATTCTACAATGACTTTCTGATATAAAGCTGTATATACTCAGAATTTCTTTTGGTAGTTGAGTTGTTTTCCACTTAAGTCTTAACACATCAGGACTCTTTTCCAAAAATACAACACGACATGTAATTTCTTTTTTGACAGACATGTATGGGGGCCATATAGTAATCAGAACACCTACTGGCGTCAGGGTGCTGTGCTCCTTGAAGCTGTCCTCCAGGAACCCATACTGCTCCTTGCTCAGCCTCAGCTTTTTCTTGGTTCTACCACCAAACCCACCGTTGTCTTTAGCTGCCTGGCGCACAGGAACTTCCACCAGCAAGTATGAGTTCACACTCCCTGTACAGACAAGGACTGATCACCGTACGTCCAAGAAGAACAAGAACTTGGGCTCTTAGGGCTTCGGGAAAATAAAAGTGACTCATCGTCCGACGTGGCATGCAGATGAACCGACTCAAGCACGGGAGAGAACGACTCATGGAGGAGAGAGAAGAACCGATGCAAGGTTGGGAGTCAACTCGTGGTGAATAAAAAAAACAAATTTCTCTCACCTATCTGACCGACTCCTATGTGCGCCGGAAGAAAGCAGAGAAGATTACATAAAGAATCTACGTGCAATTTTCTATTATATTATATGGGACCCATGATGCTTTTTTTTCAAGGAACCGATTCCTCTTAGCTGCTCACATGGCGCTCTCTCTCCTGTGTTGGTTAACCCACCACCGCGGGTGCTCGTATGTGCTTAAGCCACAATCTATCATAGAGGTACCTAGCTAACCTCGCCGATTCAGACATGTAAAATTCTTTCGTACCTGTTTCTGCAGAGGCAGTTGGTAGAGGGCAGCCTTTGTAAAGATCTTCTTCCTGCATGTCTTCTGGTTGCATGGATGTCTTCAGATTGTTTAGTTCGTCTCCTTTGGCTGTCCGTAGTCCTAGTTCTAGCACAAGCTCATGGCCTTCTCCATCGCCTGCGCGTGTACATGTCAGCATATGCTTGACAGTGCCCTTTGCTAGAGCCGGAGAAACCCCTAGACTAAGCTCAAGTTCCATGACGGAGAATAGGGGGCTGGAAATGAATCGAAGAGAAAGCAATAAGCAAGCACCATATTTATAGTACTGATGGGCCAATGGCAAGTCTTTACCAGAGAAAATAATTCCATAGCGTGCCTAAGAATTTCACGCATCCGGTAATAGGTTAAATTACAATAACGCCGGGTGTTTACAACAAAATTTGGGAAAAAGAACATGGGAACTCGAAGCTCCCAATATTGTGTCAATCAAGGAATCGATTGCATAAGGATCGATATCAGCTGATTCAGATACGGCACTGGAATCGGCTCTCTTTAAACGACGTCAGCAGATACCGACAATGAGTTACGGTTGACGTCGGGAAATACATGTCGGACTCTAAAAAGGGAAAAGATTAGGGTCCAAGTTATCTTAAGTTAGGAATGTTTTCTTTTATACCAAAGATTATAATGAGTCGTACTTGAATAGGATTCATACTCAAGCTCCGGGTATAAATATTGAACCCCGGCTATTGTAAAAAGACATCCAATCAATCAATACAATACTGTTCTACATTGCTCACTGATTTATAATAATTGAAAAACGGTGAGTGGTGTAGAAGTGTTTTGTACGGTGGCCAGAGCGCGGAGGAGGTCGGGATTTATTCATATTTGAGAATATTATTATTCAATAGACGTGCCATTTTAAATTTTATATAGAAGGATATCGTATCATCCCGGCATGGTAAAGTATCCTTTTTTGATTTGTGGGCCAGCGGCATATTTAGTAACTTCGTGGTGAAACATCGTATCCGGGACAGTGACTACAAACATGCTTGTTGAGATAAGTATAACGTTAAGCGGTGACACTGACCCGGCCGAATCATTTACCTAGCTAGGCTAACCCTTAGCTAGCTGTACGTGTACGTCAAGCACTGGTACTACTTCTTGTTTTGCGTGAGTCATCCACTCCATCCTGGAGGTGTGCTCATTACTTTTCTTGTCGGATAAATTAATTAATTAGCGTGCAGGTTTGTCGCCGGATCTCATTAGATTCGAATGTATAAAATGAATTACTGGGCTGTTCGGCAGGACTAAAAAATAAGTTAAAATACTGTTCTGACTGATTGTTGTGAAAAAAAATATTGTTATGTCTAGACATAAATAGTATTTCGATGAGTGAGCTGGCCAGCCAGACTGAGCCCAGCTAGCCAGCCGAACGAAGCCATTAACGACATGCCACGCGTTGAAACGTGAAATTTCCACATATTTGCAAAAATAACAAGAAAAAAGCTTTTCCCGTCCTGAAAACTGGAACAATCAACTTGTAATAATATCATGGGTCGAAAATAGATGATGTTCTAAAAATGGGTTCAAAACAGATGAAGTTCTAAAATGCACGTAACTGAACTTTTAGAACACTAAATACCAGGATAGGAAATAAAGTAATATTACTTGTTATGGGAGGAGGAAATATGAAGATTTTAATACTCAAAAGCACTTCTAAAATATGGAGCTATTGGCTAACCCTAAAGACTTGTTAAAGGAAAAGAAGTCCCCTTTTCACCCGGTGCAGATGGTTGTAGCAAACATGGCTCCAACGCCATGTCCTTTGTGATCTGGTGATTGAATATCAATATAGATATTTGGAATAACAAGTTTGTTAAAGAATGTGAATTACAGAGATTATAGGTTATAAGGATGCAAGATATAAAGTAGCAACGAAGATTGGCTTGAAGAAGAAGCTAAAACAGTAAACATATATAGAGAGAAAAGTGGTCTGACCAGTGCTAGCACTACCGGAAACCGGCGATTTGCCGAGTGCCGAGGCTTTGCCGAGTGTATTTTATCGGACACTCGGCAAAGACCGTGTTTGCCGAGTGCCAAATAAAATACACTCGGCAAACAAAAACACACGGCAAAATACGTCTTTGCCGAGTGTTTTTTTCTGGCACTCGGCAAAGATGTATTTTGCCGAGTGTCTTTGTTTTGGCACTCGGCAAAGAAGCTTTTTGCCGTGTGCATTTTTTTTGCCCTCGGCAAATCATTTTTTCGAAGCAATTTTTGAGGCCCTAAATGAATTCAAATGAAAAACTTTTCAACTACAAAGTTGTATAACTTCTCAAGATCTACAAAGTTTATTTTGGTCATTTCTTCATTTGACAAAGCGACAATAACGTTGTTCATAAAATCTACATCTCTCATATCTCTCATATTAGTTTCATGAAAGTAGAAGATACATATATAAGATTTGTGAACAATGTTACTACCACTATGTCGGATGAACAAATGATCAAAATAAACTTTGTAGATCTTGATAAGTTATGAAATTTTGTAGTTGGCAACATTTTGATTTGAAATCATCTTGTCATGCAAAAACGACGTTTGAATTTGAAAATTTTAAAATTTGAATTTTTTAAACGACCTCGGATGAAAAAACTTCCTAAATGAAAATTGTAGATCTCCAAAAGTTATGAAACTATGTAGTTGACAACTTTTTGATTTGAAATCATCTTATCATGCAAAACTATGTTTGAATCTCTCAAATTTAAAATTCAAAATTTTCAAACGACCTCGGATGGAAAAACTTACTAAATGAAAATTGTAGATCTCAAAAAGTTATTATGAAACTTTGTAGTTGACCACTTTTTGATTTGAATTCATTTAGGGCCTCAAACAAGCAATTTACTCTCAGTTTGCCGAGTGCTTTTTTTCTAGCACTCGGCAAAGCCATATTTTGCCGAAAGTGCCTATGTTTTGGCACTTTCGGCAAAGAGGTATTTTGCCGTGTGTATTTTTTTTTTGCCCTCGGCAAATCAGTTTTTCGAATCAATTTTGAGGCCCTAAATGAATTCAAATGAAAACTTTTCAACTATAAAGTTAGATAACTTCTCAAGATCTACAAAGTTTATTTTGGTCATTTCTTTATTTGACAAAGCGACAATAACGTTGTTCATAAAATATACATCTCTCATATTAATTTCATGAAAATAGAAGAGAGATATATATGATTTGTGAACAATGTTACTACCACTATGTCGGATGAACAAATGACCAAAATAAACTTTGTAGATCTTGAGAAGTTATGAAATTTTGTAGTTGGCAACATTTTGATTTGAAATCATTTTTCATGCAAAACGACGCTTGAATTTGAAAATTTGAAAATTTGAATTTTTCAAACGACCTCGGATGAAAAAACTTTCTAAATGAAAATTGTAGATCTCCAAAAGTTATGAAACTATGTAGTTGACAACTTTTTGATTTGAAATCATCTTATCATGCAAAACTACGTTTGAATCTCTCAAATTTAAAATTCAAATTTTTCGAACGACCTCGGATGGAAAAACTTACTAAATGAAAATTGTAGATCTCAAAAGTTATGAAACTTTGTAGTTGACCACTTTTTGATTTGAATTCATTTAGGGCCTCAAATAAGCAATTTACACTTGGTTTAGTATAATATATTGGGAACTAAAATGTAATCTAGACACAAGTGACAAAGGTGGGTGTAGTGGTAGAGGAGGTTTGTGCGCAATGAGAGGTCTTAGGTTCGAATCCGCTGGTCACAGAGTAGCGGTGAAATTTACGCTAAAAAGCCGGAGATGGATGGGCGCTGACCGTGGGGCCTCCACCAATTAAAAAAATTTCCATTTTTTTTTGGGTAAAATTCCCATTTTTTCGAGTTTTTTTTCGGTTCCAACTTTGTTGAGTAGTGTCGGCACTTTCGGCAAAGGCTTTGCCGAAAGTGCCCGATAAAGACACTCGGCAAAGACGCCTTTGCCGACTCTTTTTTTTTGCCGAGTGCTCTTTTTTGCCGAGTGCAAGACTTTCGGCAAAGCCTTTGCCGAGTGCAATTATTTTTTTCTTAAAGTGCCCCGCACTCGCAAATTCAATCGAGTCCCGTAGTGTAGGAATTTAGACATTTTCATGTAAATTCGTGGCAACACATATGTGCATGTGTGAACTACAATAAACCGCTATAGTGGCAACCATGACGAACATACTGTTTGTTAACAACACAAATGTCTTATTGAATATAAAAACAGTAAGATAAGAAATATACCCAGCGGAGGACCCATGCTCAAGGCACCGGTGGCTCCATGTGCACTAGTTGACATAGTGCGTTGCTTGATGCCGCGGACCACGGTCGATGCAGGATGATATTCGCAGTGCAGTCCCTCGAACGTCCACTCGAAAGAAGACGATGTTGTTGATCGGATCGGTAGTGAGCAGTCGCGTTAGACGCTCCCCAAAAACCTAATCGCCCGGCACACCCAAGCAGGTGTCGCAGACGCGGGCATGGTTTCGGAGGCCTACTCTTCCAATCCTCCATGCGCGCAGAAGATTGGACGGGGAAAACTTGAGAGCAACTCAAAAGAGAAGAGAGGGTGCGGTATTCTGTATTCTCATATGCACTCCTTATAAACGTGGAAGGTGGAAGGTGAAGTGTAGAGGATGAACCCGGACCTCACCAACCATCCATCAAATACTAGTAACCACTGCCATAAACATGGGGTTTACTAGTAATTACAACCATAAACATGGGAGTTACTAGTAACCGCAGCCATAACTATGACTGTTACAAGTTCAGCCATCAACTATATTCAGTCCACTATTTTATTGCACCAAGAATTTAATATGGTCTTAGATTTTATTTCATTTAATTAAATAAAATACGGGTTAAGCCCACATTAAATCCAACAATCCCCACCAAATTCTAGGGCACATATGAAATGGTCTCAGCACTCTATTGTTTGATATACCAGTGTTTCGATGGAGACTATGTTAAGTTGAACATCCACCTAGAACAGAGGTTACACTCTTCACAACTGAACAATGGACTATGCCTTGAATTGACAATTTTGTGCGAAATAAGTTTCACCTAAGTTCTTTACGGATACTAGGTTGCCTAAAGCATCCCCTCTTGTTGGAGCATATAAGTCAAACTCCTGGACCTTTCATGAGTATCTAGAGACCACCCAAATATCAAAGACTATGACTTGCAGTCGAAATCATATAGGTGTGTTTATCAAAAGATGTCCT